TATTTATTTATTTTATTATTTTTATTTTTATAAAAGTAATAATTTTAATAATAAAAAATAATAAAAAATTAAAAAAATAAATTTAATTATTTTCAAATATATCTTTATTAATAATTTAATAACAAACGACTCTACTAACCATCATGTAATAAAATAATTATATCCATCCTATCCATTTTTCACTTCCTGTTGTCTGTCACTGTTAGCCATTACCCACTATCATCTGTTACATGCCCTATGTTAAACAGCCCTAAGCCAGTAGAGGAAAAGGTCGTCTTTTCCCTTTGTTTACTTTTCTGAAAAACAATTAAATTCATTTTTCAAAAAGATAAATAAATATATCTGCAGCCGCTGATTCGTTCTCCCTGCCGCCTCCTCATTTCTGTCTCCTTCGCCCCCGTTACCTTCTTCTTCCTCGTCAATCTGCATTCTCTATTTTTTTTTTTCTTCCGATCCCAAACCAGGTTCTTCTCTTTCTCTGCTCTCGATCTCCGTCCGTCTCCGAAATCCAGGTTTAATCGGTCTTCTGGGTTTTAGCTTGATTTTTCGATTTGAGAATTGGTTCATCTGGTCAATGCGGTGGGACTTTCTCCAGAATTAGGCTTCCGGTATGGGGATTTGGTGGTTTTGACATCCAGAGGATGTAGTTGTGGGAGGTCGTTATGGAATAAAAATCTATGGCCTTTTCTGGGTTTAGATTGGAATTTTCAACGATTTCTCGGATTTCGAGTTTTGTTCATTTGGGGTTTCTTTATTTAATGCAGCAAATTAGGGCTGCTTAAGAACTTGGGTTTTGATATTTAAAGCTTTATCAGGGGGATTATTGAAGAAAGGGAAGATCTTCGGGTGTATTGGAATGTCAATTTCTTGAATCTGTTCAGTTTTGGGGCAATTTGTTGGCGGTTTATTTGATTAGGTGACAATAAGTGCCGAATTTGACACAAATCTGGGAGAGAAATATTTGTGTGAGCTCTTCTTGGGTATAGTTTATTGAGGCAAAGTTGAGGGATGGAGCATGTCATTGGTGGTAAGTTCAAACTTGGAAGGAAGATTGGCAGTGGGTCTTTTGGAGAGCTTTACTTAGGTATTATATAAATTCCGTTCGGGCTTTCTCTTCTTTAATTTATTATCAGTATCGTGGTTTTTTTCCCTCCTCTAAAACCTTTAGTTTTGGTATTTTTTTTCTGTTGGTTTTTAAAGGGGTCAATTTGCAGACTGGAGAAGAAGTTGCTGTTAAGCTGGTATGTAACATTTCATTGGATGCAAGTATTTGTTATTGGTTTTTGCTTTGTAGCTAAATAATTGTGTTGAGTTCCATGTGTGTGAATATGTTCGGAAGATTTTTTGTTGGTTTTTTTATTTGGTGTGCTGGTGGATATGCTGTTAGTTGTTAGCTTTGATTTCGATTTCTGATTTGTGATGATGTTTATCTGGCCCTCTAGTACTTTTGAAATAATTGTTAGTATTTCCAAATGGTGCACTTTTGGTTTGTTCCTTGCTTTTAACAAACATGAAACTTCAACTATGTTTTCTTGTTGAATTTCAGGAACCTGTGAAGACTAGGCATCCACAGCTTCATTATGAGTCCAAATTGTATATGCTTCTTCAAGGAGGAAGTAACTCTCTCTCTCTCTCTCTCTCTCTGATGTATTTTTCTCTTCGGCTAGGCATACCAAGAGGGTAGTACTAGTAAAAACATTGCAATCTCTGGTCTGACTGGTGCAAGTATCCCTCTTGCATTTATAAATTTGTTCCCATAATTTTAGTTATTGTGATTTGTGAGTGATGGCTACCAATGAAGCAATTTGCCTTGAACATTTAGTTGTCAACTGAATCTTCAAACAATAATTTGCTAGTTAGTTTTAGTTGTCTTAAATATTTTTCAAGCTGCAGTTTGAACCTTATGCTTTATCTTGAATAATGTTTAGCATACCATTTGGTCAGACAAAAAGTTCAAAAGTGCAGAATTATTTTTATGTAAAGTTAACCGAATGTGGTTTGACTTTGATGTAGCGGGGATTCCACACCTCAAGTGGTTTGGAGTTGAGGGGGATTACAATGGCATGGTCATCGACCTTCTTGGACCAAGTTTGGAAGATTTATTCAACTACTGCAATAGGAAATTCTCACTGAAAACAGTTTTGATGCTTGCAGATCAATTAGTAAGTGCATCTCACATTTGTCTTCTTTTTTCAAATTTCAAGAACAAGTCTTTAACTGTGTTTTTTTTTTTTTTTTTTTTTTTTCATTGTTTAATTTTTAGATTAACAGAGTAGAATATATGCATTCAAGAGGTTTTCTTCACCGTGATATAAAGCCTGACAACTTCTTAATGGGCCTTGGACGTAAAGCAAATCAGGTAATTGTTTTTTGCATTCTTCATCAATATATAAAGCCTGACAACTTTTTTCTAGCAAACATGAGTTGATGTAACTACACTACTTGGAAATAGAAAATTACTTTTTCATAAATCACCAAAATTAGCTAGCCATATATTTGATTGTTGATTTTAGATACTTCAACCCTTTGTTGATTTGTGGTCATTGAACTTTATGCTTTGGAGGCCTACTGTGTATGATAGAACTTGTAACCATTTTAACAACAAAGAATTTTGTGGAATTTGACAGTAGGTTTTGAAGTTTAGAAATTGATTTGTTTCTTATTTATACTATTATATTGTCTTCTTGTTTTGTTTAATTTAATTTAATTTAATTTAATTTTTTTATTGCAGGTGTATATCATTGATTATGGTCTTGCAAAGAAGTATAGGGATCTTCAGACTTATAAGCATATTCCATACAGGTGATTATTGTTTCCTTGACATTATAGTGCTAAAAATCTAGAACTGGAGATGCATTACTGTAGGCTTCTGTGTCACTAAGAATCTGATGAATTGAGATAATAGGTATAAAGGTAAACATTTTTGGTTGGTGATCAGATTGCCATTTTTGTATCTCAGGGGCAGAAGATATTAGGTGTTGCCTTAAGGTTTTTACACTTTCAGTAAGAACCAAATGGTATTGACAGTCAACTAGGTTGACATTTTGCCATCTCATATTCTTGCATATTTCTGTCTTCTTTTATTCTAGTTATTTTATTTGCATAGGCATGTGCATTAATAGGTGATACAAACTTTGAATTTGGTGCCAAGCTTTTCCTTTGATGCATTTGTTGTGAAAGCAGACTCATCAACTTCCTTTTTATAGGGAAAATAAGAACCTCACAGGCACAGCTCGGTATGCAAGTGTCAACACTCATCTTGGAATTGGTGAGTGGTTTTATTTTCAGGATGTATTTTCAATTATAATAGGAACTTGTACACAACTATGCAGGCTTATATTGCACTTCTAATTTCTTGGCAGAACAAAGTCGAAGGGATGATTTGGAATCTCTGGGTTACGTGCTTATGTATTTTCTGAGAGGAAGGTTGAGTATATGGCACCTACACTTTTCATTCTATTTTTTGTGTGCATTTCATGGGGATGCTTTGCTAGTTGATGAAGCTTAACCTTTTCTTAAATTTTTTCGTCATTTTCCGGAATCCTCTGCATCAGCCTTCCCTGGCAGGGCTTAAAAGCTGGGACAAAAAAGCAAAAATATGATAAAATCAGTGAAAAGAAGGTTTCAACTCCAATAGAGGTATTATCTGTTTTATTCTCTGGAAGATTCATTCCCCTCATCAGAACTTTGGTTGATCTTCTAGACAAAAATGTGGTAACTGAAATGATGGTTTCTGGGTGTTTTAGCTATGGCATAAAATTGAATCTAAAAGATTATATGTTCATGTTGGAAGTTAGTGCAATATACAAAAGAAAATCTTGTGCTTCAATTTTTTATGATAGTGACATCTGGCTATTCAAAGATCAAAACACTGCCATCTAAATTGGGTTGGAGGGAGTGTAACAATGATGGCTTAGCTACCTTGTTTGTTTCAACCTCACTTATGGTTCTCAATCTTTTTGCTCTTTTGTGATGGTGGCCTATATGTTTAACAGGTGCTGTGTAAGTCGTATCCAACTGAGTTTGTGTCATATTTCCACTACTGCCGAGCTTTACGTTTTGAAGATAAACCAGACTATTCATATTTGAAGAGGCTTTTTCGAGATTTGTTTATTCGAGAAGGTGATTCGGCATCGTCTTGTTTCCTTATTGTGATTTTTTCAGTTCTCTATTTGATATTGCTAGGTCAAGTTAATAAATTTTTGTCTGGAATTATTTTGCTTCTGAAATTTCTGTTGCTTCAGGTTATCAGTTTGACTATGTATTTGACTGGACTGTGTTGAAGTATGCACAGACTGGTGGCACTAGAGGGAGGGTTAGTGTTTGTAAACTTCTGGGTTTCAATTTTAACATCTTAGGTATATAACTTAACTGTTTGCTTTTGTTTCCCAGCATTCCAGTGGAAGACCAGGTATTTCTGCAGGACCATCAATGGAAAGACCAGAAAGGAACTCAGGTCTGTTCTCTTAGTACTAGAGTTTGAAATTCAGTTGCACACTTGCACTTATAAGAGATTAAGAGTTACTAATTGTTAGGCCTTTATGATTGCTATTTTTATCTTTTTGGTTATTTCTCTCTGGTTTCTTGAATTTGATAAGGTTACCAGATGGCACTTTATTGCCTAAATAAAGTAAAAGGATTTATAAAGTTTGTTGAAAGGAGGACTTTTGTATTTAAAATTTTGTTTCTTTCTTTTGATGGGTTGAATACTGATCATGATCTTTTATCAACCATTTTACCAACTATTTAGCTATATTTATGATATCCTTTTAACAAATTATTCCTCTTTACATAATTAACCAGTTGGAAGGGAGATTCGAGAGAGATTCTCTGGTGCAGTTGAAGCATTTTCCAAAAGAAATATCTCGAGTTCTAATTCACATGGTGATCATTACAGGCACAAGACTACAGAGGATGTGCCTTCATCTAAGCATGTGGTAAAATTTTTAATTTCCTGTAGAAATTGATATTTTGGGCAGCATATTATTTGCATATTGAAGTTCCCTAGGAGATTTTTTTTCTGATGGCAACTTTATTCTCCTAAGCTCTTTGAAATTTAGCCACTAACTATGATGCCTCTGAGTTTCATTTCTTACAAACTATTGTGATTAATTTTTCATTCTTCATCTGTGAAATCCTATGTGAAAAAGTTGCAGAGAATTGAAAGGAAAAGGAACAAAATACCCAGGGATTGGTTTCCTTTATATTGTATGTATGATATATCAAAGATAAAATGCATGCCATTTTTCCCAAAAAAAAAAAAAAGGGAATAAGAAGTTCCATGCCATTTTCATTTTATTAAGACTGAGAGGTTAATTCTTATCCCTATATCTATTTTAGATTTCTGATAATGGCAAAGGCATGAGTCTCAAACTTAGTAGCCTTGTATGCTGGATGACTTTTTTGTCATTTTGTTGGAATTAAATACAGCTCCTTCAAACCTAATTGCAAGTTCTTTATAGTTTGAGATTAACAGAAACATGTTTATATTCTATGACTTCTTTTTGCTCACAGTTGTTACAGCTTTAGATATGGTCACCTGTCAAATTTAATCTCTTCATTTTTCATCTTTGCATGGAAGTTATACTAGAAATGATGTATTGTATTCTGTTGTTTCCTTTCTTAACAATTTCAGCATCATGAGGTGGAAAAAAGACGATATGGCAGCACTACAAGAAAAGCTGTAATCTCAAGCAGGCCAAGTTCATCTGGTGAACCTAGTGAGGTTATTAATGCACACCGAGGGGTCACAAGTGGAGGTCGCCTGTCAACCATTCAAAAAATCTCCGGGTATGATTCCCGAACTTCTACTCGCCATGCCATTGCTAGAGGTAGCCGTGATGATCCTCTTCGGAGCTTTGAACTCCTCTCGATAAGGAAATGATGGAGGAGATTTTGTTTGTAAGAAGATATTGCTTATATGTCCTATGGATAGAATCTCTTAGAAGTGAAGAGATCTACAAGTTTAGTCTCAGCTATGTACATGGGGCATCACTTAATCAAATCCCATTACATATTCACCTCGCTTACCACCACATTTCCAATCTATTTTTCCCTGTTTAGTTTTTTAGCGGCCATTGTAAGGTGTTTGACACTTCCAACAGAGAATTTGTATTGAAATTTTATTTCACAATACGAGACAAATAGCTCTAATAACGGTACTCTTTTATCTCTTTTTCGACTTCTTGTAAGGACAAGTTTTTATGCAAGTTATGTAGGTTAGTTAACTACTATCATTTTACGTAACTAAATCAGCTCTGGTAACGGTTATCATCATGCATCAAGGACTGTTGTTCCTACCATCTCTAAAATGGACGAAGCCTCTTTGCTTGGTGATGCCATCAACCATATGACTGACCTCCATACGAGAACTAGGGTGTTGGAAGCTGAAAAGGAGATGGTAGACTGTAAGCAATAACAACTAATGCCTGGTATTGATCACCAGCAAAAACATGAAGATGCAGTTGTGCGGGTCAGTCGCCTATTGCATTCTCCACCAAATTTAGCTATATTGTTACCAGCTATCGATTATTCCTTGTAGTCAAACCGAATAGAGCCAGTTTTTGTATGCTTTAACCATGCTCAAAATAGTAATTAATTCCTATTGTGGTCTGTGTGCAATAACCATGCTAGATCTTAAAATGCATACGCAAGGGGGGTACTCTTCTCTCATTGCTTCTTTGTGGGCTAAAAACATTACTCCCCATGCTAAGATGGCTGAAATTAGAAATTCCATCAGTTGTCTCAGTACCTCGTACCATTGCAAGTTATGAAGATCATTCTACACGTTTTTGCTATTTTGAATCTGAATAAGCTTTTCTTATTTTTTCTTGAGCATTCTAGTCAAACACTATTTTCCCAACCAAAGGAAAAAAAATGTTCATCTTGGGGTTGTCTCATTTTCTCCAAATTCATCTTGTTTGATTTTGAATATTGAAATTGGATCCCGAGATTGCTTTAGGTAAATTTGAAGCATTGCCCTTCTTCTAAGTTAAGTTGTTCTAGTTTTTTATTTTTATAAATTTTGTAAAAATTAAAAAAATAAAAAATAAAAATCATAACCATTATTTGTGGACACAAACTCGTCTTAAATACTTTAAATTTTATTCACTCCATCATAAAATAATAGACATTTATTTAAATTTTATTTCAGATTAATTTTTTATATTTTAAGATAAACAAATAGATAAATTGATTTTAATTATTTATCTTATTATATAAAAAAATCTCTGTTTTATTTTTTTTAAGGAAAAATAGATAAAAATAGAAATTGTCTACTCAATCCTTAATATATCATTTTAGAAGGCATTATTTATATATGTTTTGTTGACATTAATTAGCTGAATAAAACATTCATGTTCCCTACTTTGCACGGCTGTTTCTGTTCAATCTGCCGTGTTGTTGATCCATTCCACGTATTTTTCAACTTTCAAAGCACAGGGCTCAGTCAATAACAGAAATCTGAGTAGACCCCTGATAGCCAGAAGTCAAAACACAACCAAATCAATGTAGAATAAACCAAAGAAACTCATTGCACTATATAATAAATCACACCTCTCCTCCAAGAGGCATTCATATCCAATACTCATCCTTATTCTTGAACCTGTGTTTCCTTTCCATAACAAAGTCGAAAGAAAACAACAATTCTTGATTGTTTTGTTTGTAAAATATGGTTTTTTACGAAAAGGAAAGCCTCTGCAGAATTGTACTTGTTTTCTGCATTTTCTTGGCTTCTCTTCAACTTGCAATCATGAGGCCACTGGATGATAACCTTCTGCTTCCATCTCTGCAACGGGGTCCGGTGACGCCATCTGGTCCCAACCCCTGTACGTACATCCCGGGTATGGGTTCAGGCCATTGCCGACTAAATGGCATAAACGTTGCCGGCAATGTTGTTCATATCACTTCACCTACTACTGCTTTTCCCAGTGCAGTTGTGGAGGTTGGTGTGGCTTCCATTGCAAAGGGGGCAAATGATCATCATA